GATTGTAGTAAACGAAATATGGCATACTGTAAAGCGTTTCTATTCTTTTCCTTTTCTGGCATGTTTCATTACGTTATTCTCTCTAAAAATCTCTAAAAAAATTGAAATGGATGAAACATTTTTTTTCCGCAACATGTGGCGCCTGTACACTTCATTGATTCTATTTCTTTGTTTACCATCCTGTTGTCATGTTGTACGATATATTATAAAAATTACGCAGTCACTTTTTCTTAGCCTGAGCTCCATAAAATAATTCCCCAAAATTATATATAAAAATTAATTTATGTTACATTTTATTTCTGATTGGGGTCCTACATGTAATATCATATAAACCAGAGCGGTATATTTGGTGTTATTCACATAGTTCAGAATACGATGCAAACAGGGTACTTTTTCTTACTTCATAATATCTCAACCTTGCGTGAGATCGGTTCATAAATAACGAAGCACACATAAGCTTCCAACGAGGAGGCACTTCTCTTAACGAAATTAAATCCCATAATATACGCTTCCTATACGCTTTAATGACACGACAGGATATGTGTTATACTTAATTTGTCTCAGTTGTTTTTTTTCCTCGCACGCGCACGCCTTCTGTTGTGCATTATTAACAGGGCATAACTGCATCTGTGTTTATTGTTATAGCGCGCAAAAATAGTTTCCAGAAATGTTTGAAGCAGTTGACGGTCACCAATAAACGAAAACTAATTAATCAGAAAAAACTGAACAGCGGAAGCAGGAAAGGACGGAGAATTTATAAATATCCTCCTTTATCCGAAAAGAACATGATTACCCCAGGGCTACGAAGCCGCCTTATATGCGGTATCTATATTTCATTTTTCGATTTTGTGCAGATTAAGATTGTATGTTACACTTTTCGATAAATGCATATGTGACGTTTGAAGCCCCAGAATTCTACCAGATGTTGTATCATGACATGGCACGTACTGTATAATAATACAATGCTTTTTTCTCTTTTGCTTTTTGGCAGCTACTTCTCACTTTGAATGTACTCTTGTATAGAGAAGTAACCAATAGGCTACGCCCTATTTCATGATCAAGCGACTGACTTTAATCGGCAGGGGGACCTCCTCCGCACAATTTATCAATATAACACGGATTTATAAACAATACCTATGTTCCTAAGTTGACTGTTATCATTTTATTGAAAAAGCACGCTCTTTTCCAACCTTAAAGACGCAGCTAAATAAAGTGCGGATTTTGCTGAAATAGTATTTTTCTGGCGTAGGACATATAATATGCATAGCCACACCATTATTTGATGTACTTGTTCATGACATTTCCGCAGTGTCCGAATTCTCTTTTTCATAAGACAATATGTATTTATTACATGATCTTCCAGAATATGCCCACATCATCGCGGAACATATCAGGGATGGCAATGTGATGTAAAACAAAAAGGTCAGTATAATACACAATGTAATATAGGCAGAATTATTAGTTCAGAATATTTACCTTTAACCGATATTATGGACGTAGCATTGGACACGGGAAACTCCATGCGAGATATATAAAACTAGATTTCCTACCCACCTGAATAATAGTAAGGGAGTGTGCAACGATAATAACAAACACATCAAACGTGTTCATTCAAACTATATGCTAGGTGATTTCACACACTACTTCATAAATGTTTTATCACAACTTTCCCCCCCCAGGAAAACCC